GGACACAAAGCAATGGAACTGGAGTCAGGAAGATCTAAGTTCAAATCTGGCTTCAGATATTCACTATCTGTGTAACCCTGAACATGTCACTTCACTTCTGTTTGCCTTAGTTTCCTCATCTGTAAAATGGGAGTAATAATAGCACCTACTTCATAGAATTGTTGTGAAGATCAAATGAAATAATATTTGTAAAGTGCTTAGCACAAGGCCTGGCACACAGTTGTTATTATTGTTGTTTGTCAGGTTTTGAAGAGGACCAATGACATCACAGGGTAATGTCTTAATGCACTCATGAGTTGGATTGAAGTGAGGCAGAGTTGCACAAAGTCATCAGCCCCCCTCTCTTCCAGAGTCATCACAGTCCAGTGGCAGGACAAAAGTCAAGAAGACTGGCATTGGCCTGGGATGCAGTGGCTGACCTTGTCGTCTTCAATGTCTAACCAAGCTCTAGGAGCTCCACAGCACCTGCTTCAGCTGCCTTCGTGGCCATTGGAACAAATTGTTCTCATCCACCCATTCCACTGGGGGATGTCTTCACATACTTGGGGTAGACATCCCCCTAACTCACTGACGGATTTGACACCTGTTGGTTGCCCTCAACCTGGTTCAGACCATCTGCCAAGACGGTTTTACTGGGGTGTGGCCACTGTGCACGCTACAGCTTCTTGGAGCCACAGGGTAAGAGCTGGGCACACAATAGGTGCTGTATAGGTGTTTATTCCCTTCCTCCTTCCCTTCCCATCTATGAACATTAAAGTCATGCAACTCTATTGCCAGGAAGTAAGTAATAGCAAATTCAAGATCACTATCATTTTAATATTGTAAGATCACAGATTGAGAGTTGGCAAGGCTACCTTAGAAATATAGCACCCACATTTTAGAGATACAGAAACAGTAGCCCAAAAACACCAAGCAAATTCATTCTGGATGTCACACTAGGTGAATTCCGATGTCTCCTTTCAGGTCTGTGTTCTTTGTTCTAAGGTTCCTTCTAGCTCTTATAATTTTATGAACCTATTTTCCACCCCACCTCTACCATCTAGGAATTTATTTGTACCTAACAAGGAGCTGGTCAGTTGGATCATTACCTTTTAGCTGACCAGGTCAGTTTGACTGTGCCCTTTCTTGTCTGCATAGGATTTTCCTTTTCTGAAGGCCTGGAGCACTTTATTCTTATTCTCACCAAGTAACAATTCAAGCTTTGGTGTAGGACTAACAACATCAATCGTAGCTAACATTTAGATAGTGTTTTAAGGTGTGCAACAAACTGTACATATATTATCTCATTTGTTCCTTACAATACCCATGCCACTATTACCTCCATCTTACAGAATACTAAACAGATGATGTTGTGGTTTGTGCTTTGGCTGCACGTGTATGACTCCTCTCCTGATTGCTGGTCTCCCATTAACAACTGCCTCTTGGACATCTCAAACTGGATGTTCCCTAGGCATCCTAAAATATGATATATCCAAAACAGAACTCATTTTCTTTCCCCCTAAACCCTTCCCTTTTCCCAACTCTCTTTCTAAATCTCCAAAATCCTTTGCTCAGACTACACAACTTTCTTTCCTTGCTCAAATCCTACATTTCAACCATATCTCCAACTATATCATTCAACTGAATATTTCCTTTATAATTTTAGCACATATTGAAGATGATGGAATAGGTCAGAAAATTCCAAGCTCTCAAGATTTCCCCCCACAAAAGATATAAAATAGCACCTCAGGGTGAACAAAGTGAGGGTAAAAATGAATAAGAATAGGGGCACAACAGAGGTCCTCCTGGAACAATACAAGAAGATCTGAAGGAAAATCCCAGAACTTTTGGTCCCTGTGAAGAGTAAACTCCTCCAGGCTAAGTCTGCTTAAACAGCAAGAGGGAACCTATAGGGTTTGCTGATCTGGGAGGCTGCCTCGGCCCCAGCCCAAGGAACTTTTACCCCTGGAACAGTGAGGAGACTTGGGCATTTGAGCCAGGGAAGATCGAGGGAATCTCTGCTGGTAAGAAATGACAGATCCACCTGTGCTGTGGGGAGCAGCAGGGCTGAGAAGTAACCACTACACACCTGGTGAGTGCAGAAGCAGTGGGGCAGGATGCCACTGGCTGTGGGCACTTACAGGATGCTGAAGATTTGGCTTTGGTTCCAGGTTAGAGGGGAGAATTGAAGGAATATTTGAGGCCCAAGGCACCATCCCCCACGCATACCCCAGGACTAGAAGTGATTACAAAAATTAAGCTATTACTACAAAAAATGCACAGGCAAAGGAGAAAGAATCCAACCATAGAAAGTTATTATGGGAATAAAGAAGATTGGGGTTCATCTTCAGGGGAGGGTACTGAAGCAAAGAAACCATTTTCTACCCCAAAGAGTAACATCAAATGGTCACCTACCCAAAAAGAATTTATACAAGAACTTAGAAAAGACTTTTAAAATCAAATGAGAGAGATTGGGGAAAAACTAAAAAAAAGAAAGAAAGAAAAAAGAGCAATCCAAGAAAAACAAGAAGACTATGAAAAGAAAGTCAACCAATTAGAAAAGAAGATCCAGAATCTTAAAGAAGAAAATGACAACCTTGAAAATTAGAATTGGGCAAGGGGAATACAGAAAAGTTATAAGAGATTAAGAAATAATAAAACAAAATATAAAGAGTGAAAAAATAGAAGAGAAAGTGAAACATAAGAAAAACAATTGATCTGGAGAACAGATCAAGAAGAGAAAACAAGAACAATCTGACTACTTGAAAGCTATGATCAAAAAATAATCCTGATACAATAGCACAAGAAATAATTTAAATTGTCCTGAAGCATTAGAACAAGGGAGAGGGAGTAGAAATAGGAAAAATCCATCGATCACCTCTTGAAGGAAATCCTATGAGGAAAACTCATAGAAATATTATAGTCAAATTCCGAAACCCCCAGTTCAAGGATAAAATATTAAGACCAACAAGAAAAAAACAATTTAAATATGATGGTGCCACAATCAGAATCACACAAGACCTAGCAGTGGTGACATTAAAGGACTGCAGGTCTTGGAATACTACATATCAAAGAGCAAAAGAACTGGGATTCTGGCCAAAAATTTCAAGCCCAGCAAAGTAAAGCATAATCCAGAATGAAAAAAAAAATGGACATTTGATCAACTATCAGACTTCCAGGACTTTGTTTAAAAAAAACAAACAAACCTGAATTCAATAGAAGATTTGACATACAAGAGCCAAGAGAAACATAAGGTACATACCAAAGACTGACTACAAGGGATTTAACAAGGACAGACCATTTACTTTTTATATATGTAAAATGTAAAACGTGTGTCTAAGATTGTCATTAGCAATTGGGTAGTTTGTAAGAAAGACTGGAGTAGACCTGAGTATTATATGACTTTAAAAAGTAAAACCATCTAGGAACAGCCAAAAGGAGTAATTATCTTATACAAATGAGGGCTGAGAGTAAGAACTGACACAGAGGAATTAGATGGGGGAGGAGGGCTAGTAGTTCTGGTAACTTACCTTCATTGGAAATGGGTTCAAGAGGAAACAATACATATACATCTAGAAGAGTATAAAAGTCTTCTAAATTCAGAAGAAATAAAACAGATAAGGAGGAGGAGAGGATAAGGGAGGGATCTCTAGGGAGAGGGGGAAGCAACAGATTAAAGACGAGTATAGAACGGTGTTCAGATCTATGGGAATTGGAGGATAGGGAGGGATCCTTGGAGGGGGCTAAGTAATAGGAGGGCAAGGTAGTGGGTAGAAGTAAACTAGAGGAATCAGGAGGAATAGAAAATAAGAGATACGCACAAACTTAAAAATAAATATCAGAAGTAGAATTTGTTAAGGAGAGTATATTTCTATATATGTATATATGTATATATATGCATGTATACGAATATATGTACATGTGTATGTATATATCTATATATACATATATCTGCACTTAATTGTAGCCTTCTTGGGGGAGAAGGGGAGGAAGAGGTAAGAAGAACCAAGTAAAAAGTGCACAGCAGAGAACAAAAGAAAACTTACAAGGAAGCAAAGAAAAGATGAACAGCTCTCGACACAATGTGTGGTATTTATCATACAGACTTCCTTGAAATGAAAATTTATTGCTATATGTATTTTGAATCTTCTCCTATGTTCTGCTGTGCACATAACGTGCTTTGTTTTTCTTACTTTATATTTAAGTTTATGATGTTTCTTTTACTTTTCTCTATTCTGTATTTGAGTTCTAAAATAAAGCCCCCAAAAATAAAGAATCACTAAAACAGTAGGAGCCACTATCCAGGAAGAAAAAACAATTTTAGCACATATTGTTGTTAAACAAACCCAAGGACTTACTTTAATTTCAAATCAGGTGATCTTTTTAAAAATTTACCTACAGTTAAACCCTGTTGCTGGATTAGTTGCAATTTCATGTGTCCTCTAGGAGATGGAGGTACCTGAAGTCTCTCTCATTCTTTCAAAAGGAGAAAGAAACCTATACTGCCTATTTCTAGTCCCAATATAGGAAGAAGGTCATGGGAGAAAGCCCTTTTAAAACCCCATGAAGATGTTCTTAGTAATTATAAAAACTTAGGAGATCAACTGAAAGCATTTTTCCGAATTAAATCATACTTACTCTCTTCTCTGTTTTTGCTTACTTATTCTTCACTTTTCAGAAGGTGGAGTTAATACTTTGTAATTACTAAGTCTTGAGAGTTGTATTTTCCAGTTCTTTCCAGCATTTCTTATACAAACAGCTTGTACAATGGTGACATACATTTAAACATAAATTGCTGAAATTCTAAAGTTATTGCATTTAAGGCCAGTGTAGAGAAACCTTTATCAAAGTGTACCCTAAAGGACAAAAAAACTCCCTTATTTTGCAATTTTGGACCCATTGTGGACAGAGGAGCAGAGAATGGTACCCCTAAATCTGCCCAGGAGATCTTGTCCCCAATAGTTCATAGATGGAATTTGGGATAAGGAGAAAGAAGTGGTCTTAAAAGGAAGGAAACTTACCTGCTAGTTGCCGTTCCTTTGAGTTAAAACAGAATTCCTTTCCACATTCAGCTTCAGTTACTCAGCATTTGGTAAGTTTCTACTGGATACCTTATCGATGGAAAGAGTAATTATTAAATCTTCTAAAATTTGTGGGACTTACTAGCTGTGTGACCCTGGACAAGTTACTTAATCCCAACTGCCTCACCAAAAAGCAAAAAAAAAAAAATTGTGGGGAAAGAAGGTGAAGGGAACACTTGGAGAAAATCTGAGGCTGTGATCTTTGGGCTTAATCTTTCCCCAGTGCCTCCCCCTCTTTTCCTTTCTCCTGTCACTGTCTCCTTTCATTATAGAAAATATATAAAGCAACATATTTTATATGCTCAATAGGCATACTATACCAACTAGGGTATCAGTTTTCTATAGAAATGTTTTTAACAAATGGGTGCAGGTAACATGGGTATCTTGTGGACTAAAGGGGTGTAGCCTCATACATTGTTTAGCATTTTTGCATAGCCTATTGTAAAAAAAAATGATTAGGCTTCTCATCCTCCTCTTGGCTTCTCCAGATAGAAAGATCAGAGGAAGAGAACAGCTTGTATTGTCTAATAAAACTCACATTACCCCGATTAGACAAAAGGGAAAAGTTGGTAAATTACCTAATTGCTTTTCCACTTTTTATTCCTCTGTTTTTTTTTTTCAAGGGAATCCCTTTGGCTAAACTGTTTTTGCCATTATTAGTTCGTATCAGCAAAAGTTCTTAAACTGACCTAGGCTTAAATCTTTCACTTTAGTTTCTAACTCAGTCTCTGGAGTAGCTCAAATTCCCTTGGAGTGCACAGTGTGGGTGGGAGGCTATCAATCTCGACTGAGAGGTGAGTAGTAGTCTACCCTTTAAGAATTAAAGGTATGGGACACATAATAAACCTCCCCAGTCCATAAGCTAATGGGAGGCAAGAACAGGGGGCTACATTTGGAGATCCTATCTCCTTCCTTCTTAGCTCTAAAATATTAAATCTGCATCCATTATAAAAATGAGTAGAAGTCTCCAATAATTTACAGCAAAATTTCTAAGTTCAAAACACACACCAGTTCAAATTATTCTCAAATTGATTCCATTTTAATTTATAAAACTACCAAGTATACAATTAGATTTTCTAATACTTCTTACAAGCTTGCATTTCTCTTCTAAGTAGGATTACCTTTCTCTTGTAGTTGTAAAACCATGAACTGGCTATCCTGAGGAGGGGGTGCTCTTATTTCCCTTTAAAAAATTCCAAAGAACGTTAATCCAATTCTTACATCCAAAAATCTGGCCACAAAAACTTCTTGAAGGATTATTTAGGAGGGGCAGGGAATATTACCTTTGATAGTAACAATATTGAAGTTAATTTTCCTGTTATCTCATGCCTGGAACACTATCCTTCCTCATCTTTAGCTCCTGGCTTCCCTAGCTTTCTTCAAGTCTCAGCTAAATTCCCAGTTTTTGTTTTCGTTTCATTTTGTTTTGTTTTTCCCAATCCTTCTTACTGCTAGTGACTTTTCTTTGTTGGTTGTCTCCAATTTATCCTATAGATAACTTGTTTGTACATAGCTGTTTGCATGTTTTCTCCCCCCCTTAGACTGTCAATACCTTGAGAGCAGGGACTGATTTTTTGTTTGTTCTTTTGCATGTCTGAGCAAAGGGAGATGTCCCTAGGGAAAAAAAGACTCTGACTTTCTCCAGCTGGCCAAACTCCTACCTGAGCCATCTTGAGAGCACCCTGGAGGCCAGAGAGGAAGCTCCGGGGCAAGTCAGAAATAGGCAGTCAGACCTGGAGGAGCTCAGCCACTTGTCCAGGCCAGGAAATGGGGAGGAACAAGGACAACAGAGAACAAAGAGCCTTGTCTGGGAACAAACTCCTGAATAAGTGTGGCCCTAGCCTCCTAGGATGCTGACATCTGCACATTCATACCCCTACTTGGGGGTTCCAGGGGAAACTTGTACCAGCATTTTCTCCTCCTTGCCTCTTCCTGAGTGTTTCTGGGTCTGTGTGACCCCTAGGGGAGATGATGTCTCGGATCCCTCCCCCAGAAATGGATCTAAGGAGTGGGATGAGGGATCTGAGGGAAAGATGGGGAATCTGCTGGCCCACATACACTCCCAAGGATTCCTTGGAAAATCAGCTGCAGGAATGCCCCCCCCCCCGGCCCCGTCCACATTCTGCAATGAATGGATGGATGGGAGGGCAGGATCTTTAGGCAAGGGGATCCCACTATCCAGCTTTCTATATGGACCGCAGGGAGTCAGAATGGGTTCAGAAGAGCGGGATGGTGGCTGGTGGCCGGGCAGGGTCGGGGTGGGGAAGGGAAGCGGGAGGGAAGCAAAACTACTGGGAGCTGAGATTGGAGAGACAAAGTAAGGGGGCGGGGAAATCATTGTTCCCTACCCTCTCCTATAGCGGCCACAGTGCTTTCTTGGTGTCGACTCGGCCGAGATGCGCCGTGGTCGTAGTGACCCCACACAAGCCTGCTCCTGTAGGGATGAAACCCCGGCAGTTCTGGGAATGGCCAGGATTCTGGAGCTGCTGCAGGCTCCGGGCGGCCCCAACACTCTCCGAGCGCCATTGCAGTCATCACCCGACCACGCTGGCCCGAGGCCCCGCCTCCTCCGACCACCCCTGCTCTGCGTTCCCTTGGCTGCCTCCCCCCTCCCATATCCCAACCCTAGCCCCCTCCCCAGGCTCTTTCACCCTTCTGCTCCCTTTTCTCTCCCAGCCCCACCCCCATCTGGGATGTTTCTGTTCCAAATGATTTTCCCCCCTTTTTAGACAAATTATTTAAGCATTTGTTCACCTACTGAATGCTACAAGCATTTATTATCTCTCCCTCTCACTCCCCCAGTGAAACAAACGAAACAACAAAAAACAAACAAACAAAAAAAACCAACCTCAAATCTTCATGACAGATCTGCCTAGTCCAGCAAAACGATTTCGATCACTAGCCACGTTCAAAAAATATACACCTTCTCCTCCTAAAGGTATAAGAAACTTTTGCATGAGTCTTTGGGTTGAGAAATCCACTGTGTTCTGCACTCATGGGACATCCCCCAGGTTTGCCACCCTATTATCTCAATGAAAGATGCTTTATTCCTCAACTCACGGCTTTGATTTCTTTCAGGACTTGACACTAGTTCTAAAGTCTTTTCAAGCTGTTGTTGTTTTCTTTATAAATGTCAGTTTTGTATAAATTGCCCTCCTGCTCCTGCTCCCTTCTTTACTGCTTGCTCTGATAATGTCCATTTTGTCATTTCTTATGGCACAATAATATACCTTTCCATGGATAGACCATAATTTGTTTAGCCTTTGTTCAGAATAGTAAGCACCTCTTTCATTTCTGGTTTGGGCTGCCAGAAAAAAAAAACACTTTTGTCCATATGGATTCTTTTTCTCTCTCTTTGGGGTCTAAGCAGGCCCAGAAGTAGTATAATTGAGACAAAGAGTATGTAGCATTAAGTAACTTTGGGGGCACAGTTGCAATTTGCTTTCCAGAACAGCAGGCCCAATCTCACTTCCTCCAATGCTGCCTGTTTAGTGTGGCTGCTTTCTTTCTCTCCTTCCATTTGTCATTTCCTTCTTTGCTCATCTTGGACAAACTGATGGGTGTGAGGTTGAACACTTGAGTTGCTTTAATGAGTATTTCTCAAATTATTAATGATTTGGATCATTGTACCCTATGGTTGACAATTTACATTTTTTTCCTTTGAAAACTTCCTCTTTATATCCATTGATCATTTATCTACTGGGGAATGTCTTATTAATTGAAGCAGCCCTTGACCAGAACCCCCTATTCAGTGAGGCTTGTCTTTCTGGTGAGATTTCAGTGCCTTTGCTGTCCTGGGAAACATACCCTTGTGGGGCAGCTAGGTGGCCCAGTGGATAGAGCACCAGCCCTGAAGTTAGGAGGACCTGAGTTCAAATGTTCAAATCCAGCCTCAGACTAAACACTTGACACTTACTAGCTGTGTGACCCTGGGCAAGTCACTTTACCTCAATTGCCAAACAAACAAAAAAAAAGATACACTTGCCATCAGGTCTCAGGCTAACGTGTGAAAGAGCTTCCTAAAGTGTCAGGGCTAGCCCACTCTTCCCTTAATTTCAGTACCCAGGCAAGGTAGAACTCTGCACTTGTCTTGCATGGGTCTGACATAGCTTGCTACTGAGGCCAGAAAGCCTGAACCATGGGGAATCTGAATGTGTAAATGAGATGAGAAGTCTTGGAGGGTGAGATGGATGGAGGTGCCAAGCTGAGGAGCTCAAGGTGCCCTTCTTGAGGGGGAAGGCACAGCCCATGGACTGACAGCATGATGGAGAGAGCCCTATTGGTATAATAGGACCTTGTTACAATGATGTCAAATATGGCTACTCTTCTGGGCCCATCCCATCCTGAGAAATCCCAGTGTCCTCAGGAGATTGGGGCTGGGAAAACTTTCTACTTCGTGCCCTGTGTGTCCATGTCTGGGTTGGGGTGGAATAAGGGATTTGGGCCTTCACAGTGATTTGCATGGGCCAGGGAAGGGGGACAGTTATCCTCCCAGAGCCTTTGCTCCACTAGGCCTAGAAGCTAAGGGGAAGGAGGACATGTTAAGGGTAAAGGGTGCCTCTTTGGTGTCTCCCACGTCTCAAGCTCTTGGAGGTCCTGGAAGAAGGGAACTGCTTCAGGTATGGGATGGGGAGAGAGTTAAGGTAGGAAACTCAATATCTCCATCTCAGTTTCCCAGTGGGTCACTCCAAGAGAATGGAGAGGAGCATGAGCATATAGAGCAGAAACTTCTTCATAAGAAAAGAAAGGGGTTCAGAGGCTGGGTGGGGGAGAGGGGCTCAAGATAGTGCAGGGGTTGTGATATTGGGAGAACACAGAGCAAGGATGGTTTCAGGAAGTAGAGTCTCCTGGGCCAAGATAGCCTGATGATGACTGCAATGGCAGTAGGAGAGTGTTGGGGCAGGGTATCAGCTCAGGAATCCAGACCTGCTTGAGTTGCATCCCTACGGTAGTGGGCTTGCCTGGAGTCACCAGGACAATAAAGCACCCATGCCTCGTGTGCATAAAGAAAGCATTGCAGCCAGTGTGGCAAAAGGCAGTGGTCCATTCCCCTTGGATTTTCCATCCCTCCCTATACCTCGAAACCTTGGGTCTGTTCCAACAAGGCAGTGGCTTCGCTCTGTATAAAACATTCAACATTCCTATACACAGGACACACATATACAAACCAACAGATAGCCTTGTCAAGAAGGGGAAAAGTCCTGGTGTAGGTGGTCCTCTTCTCCGTGTTCCCAGCCTCCTTGGTGCCAACAGGTAGGAGATTTGAAAGCCAAATCCAAATGCCTATGCAGGGCAGATTGGAATTCCAGGGTAGGGTTAAGTTGCAGGAAAGCAGGAAGCCATCGAGAGTTTTAGAGTTTTTGCTCTGGGAGTCAAGAGTTGTGTGTATGGAAATAAGAGAAGTCCCCACCCTCATAGGGCAGAGGGGAGAAGCCAAGGAACCCAGGAGATTTTCCCAGGAGGGAGGGAAGCAGAGGTTGCCCCTGGCGTTTCAGTGTAGGGGTGCGTGCTTCTGAGGGAAGTCAAGTCAACCAGCATCTATTAAACATATACTATGTGCTGGGGACACAAAGAAAGGCCAAAACAGTCCTTGCTCTCAGGGAACTCACAATTTAATGAGGGGGAGAGGGGGTGGTGGTAACGTGCAAACAATTACCTAGTAACAAAATACATAGGATAACTTGGAGGTCATCTAATGGAAGGTGCTGGCAGGAAAGGCTTCTTGCTGAAGTTAGCTTAAAGCCAGGGAAGGTAGGAGGCAGGATGAGGAGGAAGTGTTCCAAGCAGGAAGGGCACCCAGGAAAAATGGCCGGAGTGGGGAGATGGAGAGTCTTAAGCAAGGAACAGAAAGGGGAGGGGGGCAACTGAGGTGGTGGGAAGAAACCTCAAGGTAAAATAAAGCTGATCTAGCGGGCCCACCTTACTCCTCCCGGCGGCAGAAGCCCAATCCCCTCCAGGACACCAGAGAAGTCCTCGAGAGATTCAGCTGATCAAATTCCCACTGAAGTTTCCTAGGAACTCGAGAGGGAGGAGCGAGGGGGTGGGGTGGGAAGAAAAGCTAATCAGGACACGTGATTCGGGAGGCAGCCCTTGGGAGACTTTCCGGGGACCCTGGGGCAGGAAAGATGTCCTTACTTCGAAGAGCCGTTAGGGCGGGGGCATTCTAAATCCGAGCCTTTCTTTTGGGACCTGGGAGTCTGTCTGAGCGGAAGATTCCCAGGCCTAGAACTTCTGGGGAAGAAGGGCTTGTTGGGGGACAGGGATGCGGCCTCAGCATTACCCTAACTCTGCCCTTGCTAGGCGCATTCCCCATATTTGGCTGAACTGGATATTTCGTAGTGGACCGTGGAAGAAATGAGCCGCTTCGGAGTGGGACTGGGAGCGGGAAAAGACCATCCATACCCGTTGCCCCATCTCAGATTCCCCTCGGTGCCGAGTGGGGGTGTGAAATAAAGGGTCAAAGAGGCGTGGCTGCGCCCGGAAGAATGGGATGTGACTGGAGGTGGAGGGCTGGGACTGGGAGGCTGTTGGGGTCCAGGAGGCCGTTAGAGTGGGTGGGTCTGGGGCTCCACCTTGCCTCCTGCCCTGGGTAGCCAATGGAAGAGTCGGAAGTGGGAAGATGCCAGGCCCCACCCAGCCACCCCCGGGTTCGTCTGGTACCCGGGCAGAACAAATGCTGGTAATCTTCTGGGAAGGTGCTTGAAGCTGGGAAGCTCAAGCAGAGCCGGCAGTCGGATAGATTCGGGGCTAAGGGAGACAGTTAGACTTCCTGGAACTCAGGACCAGAAGTCGTGTAAGGATGAAGGGTTCTCTTGCCTGTATAACTGGATTCAGAATTCCAGTTCGATCGATCCGGTGATCCCGTAGCTTGTAATTTGATATGAGTCCAGAACAGGCCTGGGATTTCCATTTGGAGTGGGAGATCTGGGGGGTGGGGTCCGGCAGCAAGTAGCTAGCATGTAGAATCATGGATCCCCAGAGGTGAAGAACCTTTGCTAGGGGTCAGATGGTAGGATATATGATTGGATCGCGTGCCAGATGTGGATTAGTAAAATGGGCGTTAATTCTAGACTGCGCAGGAGGAGCCCGATTCTGAGCCCCGACAAGTTTGTGTAAGAGGACATTAGCCCAGCTGCTTCTGCTGTATCGTGAGGTGAGCAATGACTCTGGGTTCCCAGCCCAAGAGAGATAGAGACAGGGGAGGGAAGCTAGAATGGACCCCACTCCTTGCTCCCTCCCTTACCTCCTCTTCCTTGCCTCTCTGCTTTCCCTTTCCCTCCTCAGTCAAGCTGCATTTCTCCCAGCCACCTCCAATTCAGACCACCACAGCCCTGGCCCTGGACAAAAGGGCGCTCGCGCTCTCTCTCTCTCTCTCTCTCTCTCTCTCTCTCTCTCTCTCTCTCTCTTTCTCTCTCTCTCTCTCTCTCTCTCTCTCTCTCTTTCTCTGGTTCCCCCTTCTCGGCACCAGAGAATTTAGGGGAGAGGCTAGAGGGCTTCTGGGGCCTGGTGAGGGTGGATAGGAGGAGACTGGTGTGTAGAACTGATGCTTTGTTCCTATGTGGAAATGGAGGGGAGGTGGCAGTGAGACAGAGCTGATCTCCCTCCTCTCTCATTTCCCCACATGCTTTTTTCCTCTTCTTGGATCTGTGCCTGGGAATGGAAATCGAGGAGATTCTCCTTCTCTCATACTGAGAACAAAATATGAAGGAATGTTTTAAAACCTCCTTTTCAGTTTCCCTAGAAATCTTAAAAAATAAATATTTCTCTAGTCCAAAAACCTGAATTTCAGAATTTTTGTGTTTGAAGGTCTGCAGAAGGCCAAGAACAAAAGGCCTTTTTCTTGAAGGGGGAAGGGGGAATGGATGAAGGATGTAAACAAAGACTGGACAAAAGTGTACTTCTTGTGAAAATCTTTCATCTTCTTCCCCTGGGTGCTCTTGGCCTGGTACTCACCTAAGGAAAGTGCATTCTTTCACATTGGTGGCAGGGGGGAGAGGGAAGTAGCTTTTTTTTTTCATTCCTAAAGGATTACAATATTGATCAAAGGCTTAAAATCCTTGACAGGAAGGGTCAAGGAAGGAATGGATTCACTAAGTGACTATGGTTCTGTTAGCTGGAGTAGAATGTTACCCCTCAAACTCCATTTATGACAGAACATTGCCCTTGTTTAAGACTCCTATAAATATTAGCTCCAGTCTTGGTGCAGAGAGTTGTCTGAAGACAGAGCCAGAGGGCGGGGCTTGTTGCTTCTCACTCTTGACTAGAAATGGCTTGATTGTTAAATTAATAGTAAATTAAATAAAAATTGTTCCCCCCCCAAGACTCATGCCAAACCCTCTGAGTACAGTATTAATAGTTTTTTTTCAACAAAAGGGTGTGTAATGGCAGTAGGGAGGAGAGAAGGAACCAGGAATGGAGGCCTGGGATCCTCTGCTTTTCCTCTCCTAGCTCCTCACTAGTTACAGAAAAAAACCACACACCTTCTTGACTCCATAGGGAGAAATATTTCCCATTCAGTCCTTTTTCCAATAATTCTTTCCACTCACCATTCCATCTACATTGAAGTTCTTAAAGCAACAGTTTCTGTTGTCTCTGTGAGAGACTTGTTCTAATTTCAAATTGCATGGCAAAATAACCATTTTGGTCCAGAGATCCCATTGCTTGGATGGGTAAAGACTGATAGACCCCAGTTACATAAAAATATCCTACTTATCACTTCAAATGGTATCCAAAAACGGGAAGCAAGATGGATTCCATCAACTAGGCAACAACTGAACAAATTATAATATGGGAATGTAATGGAATACTGTTGCTCTATAAAACAACAAATAGGAGGAATTCTGAGCAACCTGGGAAGACATAAAACAGAGAGCGAATAAAGTAAATCCCAGAGTACAATCTCTCCAACTTTAACATTTTAGGAGCCTTTATCAGGGATAAGTTTGTAAGGAAAATCCACAGGGTTAAAGAGGAGGCCACATTCTGCCAGAGCTGAATTGCCCCCTTGTCCTTCCCTTTCTTCCAGTCCATGACCCCTGGATGACCTCTCCTTCCTCATATTTCTTCTAATACTTTGGCCCCTCTTTTTTGGCTCCCATATCTCTCTCTTAAAAGTTAGTTATTTGTATACGTAGATTCAAGAAATACATACTAAATCCCTAACTCAGATCAGGCTCTGTGTTTATCTCTTGGACTATCAAAATGAAAACACATAGTCCTTACCCTCAATGAACTTGAAATATATTAGGAAGACTTTGACAGAAACACGGCTAACTGGTAGAAGATAGAATATGATTGGATCTATGCAGTTGAGTAGAGGGGATATGGTGTGGACATGACGTGTACAACTAATCACAAGATCATAAAGGAATGGGTTCCACACACATTCCTCTTCAATTAATGTCATTTAATCAGTATAAAGGCAAGGTGAAATTTAAAATGGGCAATCAAGATGACCTAGCCCTGTGAGCTCTTTATGAAGTATCAACTTCATTGACTGGGTCAGGAAGGGAGCAATTGATTGGCTAATCCAGTAAGGTAACCTTGCATCTCAGGTCCTTAAATAGCTGGAGGAATTTCAGCAGTAGACCAATCTAGAGGTAGAGGACTCCAAATTCAGGACCAAAGGACTCAGTTATGGAGTCACAGCTAAACCTGAAAGAATGATTCACTGGGTAGGGGTGGGGGGGAAAGTTTCACTTTCTCTTCCTTCCTCTACTACTCCCCCCTCCCCTTCCCCACCACTAACCATTTCATCACAGAGACTGTATTATAAGCAGTAACCAGCACATCCAGCTGGGATCAGAGAAAACGGACCCATGGGAGACAATGCATCCAACTGGGAGGAAAAGGACATCAGAACAAACAGATGCAGAAAGACATTTCACGTGAGGAAGAAAATACCTTTGACGAGTGTGACTGCTTGCATCAGAGCAGAATTCTGACTATGGACTCAAGAAAGGACTTCTGGGCCATAAGGTATCAGATGTGAGTTACCCCTTTCCCACTCTGTATCCTACATGTCTGCCTCACTACCATTGTACTCTAACTTTAAGCTGACTCTTCCTATTACCTGTGTGTACTTGTGGAAGAGTATGCCTCAGGATTTGGAGGGGGGTTGGAATGCTTTGTACCAACCGTTCTTAGTATACCATCAATAAAAGCTACTGAAGTCTACTGGCTGATTTGAATAGGGACATACTGGTGGGGGCTTTGGAACAACAATGTTAGAAATATAGGTTTACCCTCTAGAACCCTGAGGGCAATAGTAGTTAACCCTCTGAGTACTGTAAACCTTGAGTACATGTGGGAGTTGAGGAAATGGCTCCAGAGGGAGTACTATCATAGAATTCTAGCTCTTGAGCTGGAAAAGACCTCAGAAGCCATCTAGTCCAAGCTGGTTAAACCTAATTTTGTCTCTTTAATAGCTACCCAATCCTCTGGCCCACCTTGGCCCAAGAGACCTACCCCACATGGTGCACGACAGCTGCTTCTAAATACTCAAAGGCAATTGTCAGGTACCCCTTGCATCTTCTCTTCTCCAAGATAAACATTCCCAGTTTCTTAAACCAGTCTCCGTATCTCTGTATAGCTTTGCCTTGGGGCTTTTCCCAATTCTGGTAAGTCTCCTTTAAACATTATTTTGTCATTCAGCTTGTAGAAGTGAAAACTTCCAGATGGGGTCTGCCTATAGCAAAGTTCAGTAGAACAATAACTATTTCTTCAACACTTATTCCAGTAGATGCTTAATAACGTAGGCCGAATTCAGGAATGCTTCACTTTCACATGCCATCCAGCTCACTGGATACCAGGGATGCATACCAGCCATATCTCACTGCTTGCCCACTGCTTATCTACCCCTCCTTACCTGGACCAATTCCTTCCACAATCAACCTAACCCAGGGCCGTCCACATCTAGGTTTCCAAAATCCATGCCCCCAGTCCTTGGGAAATTAATTCACTCATCTTTGGCATTCCTACCCCTAGGGCTACCCT